AGTAAAGGGAAGCCACCTGATACCAATAGATTTCTAAAAAGCTTAAACACATATGTATGGCATACAGAAAAGCGTGCACTTGAAATAAATAACTTTTCACATCAAAAGGGAATTATCCAAAATGGTAGTAAGTTGCAAACATTTTCAATCCATGCATGCATCATGAATAAAATCTCTAAAGAAAGCAATCAAGAAAGGAGCCACGTGTGAAGGGGCAAAACTCTTCCCTCACAACAAAAGATCAGACAGGGTCAAGTAAATCCTTTACAATGACCAGCCATAGACAAAAAAAAAGCAAGCTTCGTACATGTTGAAAATGTCGAAGCATTTGGAAAAATAGTAGAAAAAGGCAAGCTTCAAACATGAAAAAGCCGAAGCTAAACAAATATAAAATTAAAAAAAAACCTATTACAAGCAGACACCTGGAGAGGCATCACAATACTCACCTTGACAAGAACAACACCAAACTCCTACTAACCATCCCACAATGAAGGCGCCTGGAGAGGCATCACAATACTCACATGGTAGGTGCAACACTAGAATCCCTGTCATCCATCTATCTCTGCCCACCAACACAGGGGCACATCATACATCTCCTGCCCATCCATTTAGGGGCAGCCTTTCATTCCACAACACCCACAAGAAGACATTAAGTGCAAGATCGGAAAGGGTTGCTAGATCCCAAAAACTAGTACAAGATCGGTAAGGGTTGCTAGATCCCTAAAACTAGTACAAGTTCAGTAAGGGTTGCTAGATCCCCAAAACTAGTACAAGATCAGAAAAGGTTGCTAGATCCTCAAAACTAGTACAAGATCGGTAAGGGTTGCTAGATCCCCAAAACTAGTACAAGATCAGTAAGGGTTGCTAGATCCCTAAAACTAGTACAAGATCAGTAAGGGTTGCTAGATCCCCAAAACTAGTACAAGATCGGTAAGGGTTGCTAGACCCCAAAACTAGTAGTGGGCCGGCTGAAGCCCTAAATATCAGTCTAGCCTGGAGAGGCTGAGCTCATAATATACTCCCTCTTTAACAAGCCACAAATAAAGAAACACACTACCATGAGACAAGCAGAAGCAGTAGGAAGCATCTACATCAAGACCAGAAGCCTAGATGTTTCGGTTTACCATCCTTATCACCCGACGGAGCATATAAACCAACACTCAGTTGCTCTTAGGGACAAGGATACGGGCAAACACCATCTACCCAAAACAAATGGTGTGGGGGCATCTACACTGCTGAAGCAAAGGAGAAGATTCAGGACACAGGAAGCGACATGGGGCATTCACATGGATCTTGAAGCCTAGATGTTTCGGTTCACCATCCTTGACACCTAATAGAGCATTCAATCCAACACTCAGTTGCTCCATGGGACAAGGATATAGGGAACACCGTCTACCCGAAGGAAACAACGTGAAGGTATCTATTGTCAAAACAAGAGTGAAGATCTGAATTTTCACCTCACTATCACAAGGGAAACAATGCAGAAGCACCAAAGAGACGAAGAGAAGACCCGGACGAAATGTCTACGTCTTTCCTTGCCTTTGGAAAAGCAACACATTACTATTCCAAAGGACAAGTAAAGAGGGGCAACTGTAGACACCCAATTTCGTCCGGGGGCATACAAACAAGGACATGGACCAATGTTACGAAGGGAAGGAGCTCCCGAAGCATGCCAAAACTTTAGAGGGCCCAAAAGCACAAATTAAATATTTTTATTGAAAGGGTCGAACAAGGCTTGAAGAGCGGGAGATTAGGAAGGACATCGGCAAGCTACGATCCTAAGAAGTCCTACGGGAAGAAAAAGGAAGAAGGAGTTAACGCTGTTACTATAACTTGGAGTCATGACATATTTATAGCCTCTGTAAGATTTGCCTGTCGCAAGTGTCCATTGAAGTAGAATGTAGTCATTCACGACTAATTTGATTTCTCATTTAATGCACTTGATTTTGCATTAAATGTTACTTCCTATTTATAGACATTGCATGAAGTCTTCTAAGTTTTTGTTAGCTTTAGTGTCTGACTTTAACTATGACCTAGGAATTTCTTGTCCTTTTCCAGTCATCGTAGTTGTACAGGCATTGTCTTTATCTGAAAAAGTAATGTACTTTTTCTGACACACACATGCTTTGACTTTTGGGCTTGCATTTCTTCTTCTTCTTCTTTTCCTTACAGCAGGTGATCATATTGAGAGCTCTTTGTATGATTGTAGACGATGCTTGAATTGTCTCTTTAGACTTGATTCTTCAAATGCTTGCATGACAGTCTTCTTCTGCGTCTGGTAGTCAATGCGCATCTCAAGGCTTGATCTTCGTCTACGCATTTGTCATCAATGCTTTGACTTTCTTTGGTTTGGTCAATATTGTAGATGGACAGACCTCATTTTTGTCTAGAATGCTTTTCAATATGTGTTATCCTTCGTCTGATATGTAGTTGACTTTCGTCTGAATAGCCTGAAGAGGCTGAAGAAAGAATACTAGCGCTGACGAGTGAAGTTGGCAGGCCAGAAGTAGACAATACTTGGCAAACCAGAAGTGGTGATAATACTTGTACTTAATTGAAAATATAGTGGAACCCTTCAATTGAAGGAGACTGGATGTAGCTCAGTCTGAGCGAACCAGTATAAAACTCTTTGCACTGTTTTACTCTTCTCAGATGCAAATTTATTTATTTGGTATTTTATACTGAAAATCTTACTCACTGCTTATTTCACACTACAACTACTTTCAGACGGAAAACATCTCTTGTTTAACTTATTATTGCAATAAACACTCTCGTGCAGACGATAAAGCTTGCAGACGTAAAACTCTTTTAAATGTTATATTAAAAGTAAACGTGAGATGCATCTTGAGTTTGAAAACGTCAGTATGAATCATGAAAAAGCCTTTTATGCGAAAAGATTTCATTAAACCTTCACACACATATTCAACCCCCATTCTATGTGTTTGTCCTCTAAATTTACATATACAACCAATATCTTTACACAATCACAACAAGTTCCTTTAGAATTTCCTATGGGAACTCATAGGGATGTCTGATCATAGAATTATCATCCAAAACATAAAATTATTCATACATTCAAATAATTCATGTAATATTTAGGCTAAATTTCACTTAATTTTTTTTATCTTATAAAAGTAGTAAAATGAGTTGAAAGTTAGATGAAAATGAGAATTAAAAATATAATTTAGTCTAAATAATATTAAATATTAATTATCATATTATCTATATAATGTTAAGTCATGATAAATGTTACAAGTTTAATGACAAACAAATAGACATGTATGGAGAAGGTTGTGAATAGAGGGATTAAAATTACAAAATTAGAAATAGATGGACCAAAATTGTGAATTTAATAATTTAAGACCAAAAGCATAGTTTAATCTAAATATTTTTAATTACATAAAGTATTTTATAATTAAAATTTGTTATAAATAATTATTTCTAAATTTATGAATTATATTTTAAATTTATGATGAATAATTATATTGTGATATAAGGTTACTAGTATTTTAATTTGTGTAATGCACAAGATATTTATATAATTAATTTTATTATAAATAAATATTTTTATCATATACATCATATAATAATTAAAATTTATAATAAATAAATATTTTTAATTATATACAATTAGGAAAAACTCTTCTTACATAAGCATATAACATACATAAGATTGAGAGTTAATCCCACTATTCGACAACTACTGGCAACAATCGAGGCACGTCCCAATCTGAACCGTGGAAAGAGAAGGCAGTGGATAAGATTCCTACCACCTATACGAAACTATTTCCTAAACTCTTGGAAGCCTCGATGCTGCTCTCCAAACAAGTTTCCATCATGAGCACACAACAAACATAGGATTGGGGCCAATCCCACTACCTAACATATATTCTCACACCCAGAGCAAGGTTTCTCACTCCCTCTTACCTGGATAAGCAGAAGATGAAGCTAGAGCGGAATCTGGTTGATATCCTTCTCTTGATTTTCCTTGGTCTTCAAATAGTGTGTCCAGAAGCAGTGCCAGAGTCTACTATTTATAGATGTCAGAAGTGGCTAGAACGACCCGTTTCGAATCCGGAACGACCCGTTCTAGACTCATTCGTCATGTGTAAAATTCACATCAAGAACAGCCTGTTCTTAAACTATCCCATTCTGGGATTGTGTTTTAACACATAATGTCCATGTTTGGAACGACCCATTCTTAAAACTAGAACGGCCCGTTCCCAACTAGGATTATAGGCCTTTTTTAGTAGTTTGGAACGGCCCGTTCTAGTTTGGGAACGACTCGTTCTAGGCTACTAAATCACCCTTATTAGGCTTTGAGTCTTCTTATAATCTGTGAAAATTGGGGTGTTACACTTGTCATATTATCTATCATAGGATTTTCTTATAGGCCTAGTCTGACCATTTTAAAGTTTGACCTGACCTATTAGCCAATTTAAAAGCCCATTTATATTAATAATGTTAATTAGGCCAATAAACTTAATTTTTACATAGTTAAGAAATTTATTTTTAAAATATAATTTACTCAATATTATTATAATTTAAATTTTGAAAGCAAAAAGGGAAATAGTGAGTTATTTTCTGTTTAAGGGACAAATTTTGCATAGTCATGTATGTTTATGTACACTTAATTACGCATAAGTCGTCAGCTTATAAAATTATATTAAAATAAATAATTGTATAAAAAAATATTTTAAATATTGATAATTTTCTGCTTCTTCTGCTATTTTTATTCTGCTAATAACTGCCTAGAGGCAGTTACGCTTGCCCCCACTAATAGCACCCAGTGCCTAATTAAAACAACAATAACTGCTAAAATAATTACAACAATAACTGCTAAAATAATTAATAACTGCTAAAACAATTCAGTCCTATTATAAAACCTAAGTCTTGACACTCCTCTTATAATATTTACTTATAAGAGGCCTAACAGAATTATGCAAAACTTGGTAAAGCAGAATAGCAAATACTTTCCCAACTTTGGTTTACGGACTTGAATCCTTGACTTAGTTGACTATATAATCTTATTATAAGCTTTTTAAATAATGCTATCACTGTTTTAATCGATGTTTAGCATATTGCCCCCAGGGAGATTTTCCTATTGAAGTTTTTGTTATACAAAGAAGTTTACTGACCGGTGACTATATTTCTTGTTTCCAGATACTTTGCAAGTCATATCCTGTGGAATTTGCCTCTTACTTTCACTATTGCCGCTCTTTGACATTTGATCAACGGCCAGATTATGGACTTTTGAGACGCCTATTTCGTAATTTGTTCACCCGTGCAGGTATTGGTATTGGCTGTCTGTTTTTTCATATGTGAATCATGGTTTATTCATTACCTCAATTTGCATGTTGATTGATTATTTTAGTTCTACTGACATTAACTATGAAAGCATGACATGTTAATTGAAATGAAACCTTTCCACTATATAGTGAATTTGAGCGTCATTATTGTGAGAATTGATTACCTCCAGGCCACAAATGATTATGCTGTTCAAGCTTGACAGTTGGGCTTTAAAAGGATCCACTAATACCCTAAGATGTATAGATGTTTCATATTGAGTATTTAATTTTTCTTCCTTGGATGTTGCTAGGTTTGGAGTTTGTTTATAGAAAATTTTTCCTATTAGCTTCTCCAAAATCTTATTTTTAACTTGTTCATAAGCTAGTTTTAGCTTATTTCAATTTTCTTTGCTATTTTTTTCTTCTAAAAGTGCTTATGGAGAAATTTATCCAAATAGGTTCTTGGTGCCAAGTATCTCTGTTTTGGCACCAAGTTATTAACTATTGATTACATAGCTACAGATTGGAGATAAGATCTACTTGAGTATAAAACCATCTTAAATCTTATTAGTTTTGCTGGTTTTATTGTTTTGCATCCTTTATTCATTGTACATAAATTTTAACAGTTTCATACATTGCTGCGTTTCTGGACTTATTGTATTGCTGGTGGTCTCATCTTTGTTGTATTCATCTTCTCTGTTAATGTAATAAAATCTTGTTTGGCAGGATACGATTCCGACTATTTATTTGACTGGACCATTCTAAAATATCAGCAGATGCAACAGCAGAAGACACAGAGTCAATCTCCTGTTAGTCATTATTAGCCTAGTTTTAATAGCCATTGTAAATAAATTGCCTGCCATAACATAAGCACTCAGGCTTTCACGATTTCATTTACAGGAATGTGAAATATTGTATGGCTTTTCGGATAACTTATGTATTAAATATGTGCTGATTTAATTTAATATCTCACTTAAGTATTTTGCAATTGCAGGCACCACATGCTGTGCTTACTTGTCTTGAACCATTGGATGAGGATAATCATAAAGGTAACTTCAGCCTTGTATCATGTATTTGAAGAATCAATTCTCTAAACTCTTGGAAGCCTCGATGCTGGTACGACTTCCGCCACTGAAAAGATTCAATCCCCCCTTTCCTACATGGTACAACCCCGAAGAGCGATGTGATTATCACTCCGGTTCCCCGGGGCATTCTGTGGAACGATGCAGGGCCCTCAGTTATATTATATAAATAAATTTATTTTTAAAATATAGCTTACTCAATATTATAAAAATTTAAATTTAAAAAGAAATATAAGAGAAAAAGTGAATTATTTTTTGTTGGAGGGATAATTCATATTTAATCACATTTGTTGATGTAGACTCACGCCCATGTCATAAGTAAGGATGGGAATAGGCCATGCTAGGACAGACTAGGCTTTGAATGTAAGGTTGGATTTCTTCTACAAAATTAAAACCTAAGACTGGCCGATTTTCTATATAGGCTTTTATAAGCCTAGCCTATAACCTAACCTTTTTAAAGTTTGGCCTGACCTATTAGACTATTTAAAACTATTTAAATTACTAATGCTAATTAGGAAAATAAACTTAATTTTTAAAAATAAAAAAAATATTTTTAAAATATAGTTTACTTAATATTATTAAAATTTAAAAAAATGAAAATACATTCCAATATACTTGATAGATGCATTTTATCAAACAAATTTTCTAAACAACTTCATATTCAACAAAACAAAGGATAGAAATGAATGCTTAAATTGGCACTGGATCTATTAGCAAAGCTTTAATACATTCTTTCATTAGTCCACCAGAATGTGTGTAGTTATCTTTGTCTTTATAAAACACATCTATGAAACGTGTAATGTTGAGAATACGCTGTAGAAAAGGCATTGGAACACTGGTTGGCATAAGACATTCCTCATTTATATCTTTCCAAGCATTTGTTATTCTCTTTCGACATTCATGAATTGCAGCTTCCCTAGACTCGCCGTATTGATCCATATAGCATTCCAAGAATGTGGAAACATGTCTTCTTTTTTGTTCAAACTATGCAACAACAAATAATTTTGCAAATTAATATTTACATCGTGTAATGAAACATAAACATTGAAGCATAATATTCTTAATACAGATATTGTACCTCATTGGACACAATGTCATCCATTAACCTACAAATAGTACAAGAAGCCATAACAATTTTTGGTTCACTTGTTGCCCATTCAAATATGTCCTCTGTGATTATATCCCCCATGCCAATGTAACTTGTTGCAATCAATGTGCAGTAACAAGAAGATGTTTTTGATGTGTGCAAGTATTCCTCTATTGTTGTTTTATAGTTGTTGTTGAGCCATCTAGCCTCAGTCATGTAGGCTTGAACACCCTTTTTTAACTATTAGCCAACAAACACACTTTATAATAAATATAGAGACTGAGTTTTGAGAGTATACTATATGAAATATTTGTCTTTATGCTTTTGGTAGAATTATAATAGATTTTAATGTTAAGGATTACTTTCTTTATATTTGGCTTTTATCATATGTACACAAAAAAGAAACCTTGATCATAATACACAAACTCTTAATTTATTATATGAATTTATCTTATTGCAAAATCTTGAATTTGTCACTAACCACAAACTATGTAACTTAACAGTTGTTAATAGTTAGGGAGAAAAAAAGCTCTTACTTCGTTTATAATGTAGTTAATGAAATATGATTTTCCTTCCTTCTTCGTTTCTTGCTTTATTTCCTCATAAAGCTTTATGAGTGACTTATAAATTAACTTCATGTATTCTGGGAGGTCATCCAAGCAACTAATATCCCACCTGAAAAAATATTTTCATTAAAATAACTTACGTAAGTTGTTTTTCCTAAAAAAAAAAAACAAGCAAAGAAAAATTGTGTTTTAAAATATGCTAATTAACCTTTCAATTGCCTTAGTAAAAACTTCTAATTCATCAGTGGTTCCATATGCATCAAATGTATCATCAATGATTGATATCATTGCAATTACTTTTGTTGTTATTTTTCTTGCTTGAGAATATTGGGGCTCAAAATATATCGCCAAAAGAGAGAAAATAGGATAGACACAATTTCTAAATGACGTATTTTATTATAAAAGAAACAAATTCATTACATGCCCTTTATTGTGGAAACTCACAACCTTGGGCAGAGTTGTGGGTTAAAAAACAGTGAAATAAACTCATGATAACAGAAAACACAAATCCCCTTTTTGTTGTATGGATAAATCATGTCTAACTATGTACGTTGATGTACACTCATGCACAGGTGGTAAACTTATAAACCCTATAATAAAAAAAATAATTATATAAAAATATTTTAAATATTGATTATTTATTTCTTTTAATAGATTTATTAGTTGATTTCTATTTTTAATAATATATATGTATATATATTGATTTTTTATTATATTATATAAATAAATAGACTAATCTATCAGGTCTATCATGCTTTTCTATAAGCTTAAACCTATCCTTTTTATATAAATAAAGCCTAAATTTGGCTTTTTTATTAAACAAGTTAGGCTAGGCAAAATTTTAAAGATGCTAGACCATAAGCCTGACTTATTCCCATCTCTACATGCTATAAAGATATTGTGTGAAAGTTAGTAAACATATAAAATACTTTATGACAGGATATATTATACTTCCCCACCTTTGTTGTGTATTTAACTGGTAGATTAAATAATTCAAAGTTTATAGTAGAATACATAAAAGAAAAAAGAACCTATTAACCAAGATAACCATAAATAATGAAATTTTTTTATCTTTATTCTACAAGAGTTATAAAGACATAACTCATTTTCTTTTCTTGCTACAAACACCAAATTTTGTCTGTCTAAATTTTGTCCTATTATATTTTGCTTGACAATGATTTTGTACATACAACATATTAAAAAGTCATAAGTGGAAAAGAAATGTAGAAGAACATAGATGCATTTATATCATTATCCTTTTGGGGATTGAGTGTATGCATGAAGGATAGAGGGATTAGTCTCAATCCCATAAGTTTTTTATTTGATGAGATGTTGTGTGCATTTGATGTAATTTATCGAGTAAATCCCAAATATGTAATTTATTTGATGATCAGATGTTTTTAGAGTAATTAATTGAGTACTTTATAGAAAGGTGTTAGAACCCTAGAAGGATTGACCCCAATCCCATAAGTTTTCTGTTTGATGAATTGTTATGTGCGTTTGATATGATTTGTCGAGTAGATTTTGAATATGTAATTTATTTGATGATCATATGTTTTTAGATTAATTAATTGAGTGCTATGTGGAAAGCGGTTAGAATGAGAAATTTATTGAATTTAAGGTGTAAAAGTTGTAAACGATAAAATTGGTGAAGTTCTGGATGTAAAACGAGTTCTAGGAGATTATAATTTGTGTGATTGATTATGGAAACATTTATTTCAAGATCTAATTTTGATGTTTGTGATTGGGTGTTGGATCGCACGCGATGTCGGGCTTGAGTTCTCAAAGTTGAGCATGCCTTCATTTGTATAAAGGCCTTGCCCAGATGTGCTTGCGTCGAGTAGGAAAATGTCCACACCAAGCGCAAGACGAATCTAGTTGTTTTTTGTATTAGCTTAAAGCTGGACTTGTTTTTATTATAAGTCAAGCTTGTTATTTTTAAGTTGGGCTCGTTATTTTTAAACTAGGCTTGTTATTTTTAAGCTGAGCATAATTAAGTTAGGCGTGAATTTATTAAGTCGGGCGTGAGTTGACCAAAATGCTTTCTGTCTTGGCTTAAAGTCGAGCATGGGTTCCCAATCCTGGCATAAATTGCCAGGAGACTCCTTTGTGATGTTTCAAATGATGATATGATGATGTTAACAATTGATTCTATAGTGATGAACATGTATATATGCATTTATGCCTGATTAGTGATGATTTTCTATCTTGATGGATGATAATTGATGTGAATGAGTATAGATGTTTATGAATGATGGATGATATGATGATCATGATGTATTTAAATAAAAGCATTGATGGATGATAATAGATATGAATGAGTATAAATGTTTATGAATGATGGATGATATGATGATCACATTGAAGTTATATATAAGCATTTGCATGGTTGTGACATGCATCATATTCGCATAATTTTGTGGTTCTGGTGGGAACCTATTTTGTGGTTCTAGTGGAAACCAATTTTTGTGGTTCTAGTTGAAACTTGTTCGGGTTCTGGTAAGAACACTTATGTGTTGGTAGCCTAAGGTTAACTTGGGACTTAGGTACCAACTGTATATTCTTGATGATGATGGTCGGGTACCCCATGCATTTAGATGTAGGTGCATATCACATTGCATTTTTGTGTGTGTGTTGATGGATGGAATTGACGTTATCTATAATTGAAGATAAAGTATGAATTATGATTATTATAGTTTGAAGTATCAATTTTTATTATTATAGCTATTTATTGTGAAGGGATGGGATGCCGAGGGTTACGGCCCATTCCCTATAGAGTGAGATTGTTCTCATTCCCTATTTTGTTGTTGGTGTATCTTTTGTATGTTTTGCAGGTGACGATCCTCAATCCTAGGAGGAGCAGGGAGAAGTCTAGGTGCGTGTTGAACTTTGATGCCAATGTGACACCGGGGATTTGAAGTAGTTTAGGAATTATATTACTTTTTTGTTATATCTCAGTATTTTTGAATCACAATTTGTTACTACTACTCTATTTATTTACTTTTCAAATGAACTGGATTATTCTATTTTGTAAATTTTTATGACGGTGTATTTGGGATTTTGAGTTTAATTGGTATAATACTTAGGGGTAGATGAGTGTCACAATGCTCATCAGTAAAATATTTACATTTTATTACATGGTACTAAAACTGTTGAGAACCATGATTTGGAGAAAAAGAAATGAACAAAACCCCATTGTTTTATTAATTTCTAACTTCTAAACTTTTAAAATCATTTAATTTCCTTAATTTATTAAATCTTGGAAAATGTTTTAATAGAGAATGGAAATTTAAATCCTTTAAATAGAAATAAAATTAAAACCCAACTATTACTTTCTAGAATGAGTTTAAATTTTATTTTTATCTTTATGTGATTCAGTTGTTGATAGGTCTTAAAGAGAATGTAATCTATTTATTTTCTATTTTCTAAATTTTTGGAGTTTTAGTTTTCAAATTATGCAAAATGTTATTGATCATATGATATATTTATTATGCAATGATGTATTTAATATATCACACTTTATATTCCACCTATTAATAAAATCAAATAATAGTAAGGAAATAACATGAAATCCAAAAAGAATGTCAATAAAACGAAACAATTCACAAATTTCTTCAAATGGAGGTATCACATGTGAAACATACATTAAACCAAAGGAGGAAGGCATAAGTAATGACAAGTAAATACAACTAGAAACAACAAACATCAAATCCTACTCATTAAGAATTACTAAAAATAAGAAATTAATCCTAACTAAAGTTTTGATGTCACATCCTATCAAAGTATATTACCCAGCATAAGGCTTAAGTCTCATCTCCAACCTCATCATCTACATGTTGATCCTCACTTGCAAACATACACAAGAACACCAACAAAAGAAAAGGAAGTGTGAAATATCTTGCTCTAGCTACTAGTGTAAGATATGATCGGATAACCACACACAACAAGATATCACATATACACAAATAGATACTTGAATCAGTATATACACAACTACATAGTCAAGTATTCCACAATTCATTGAAAACATTCCACTGAAAAAAATAACCATCATGTTCACATCAATGAAATGGACACATAGAATAACACCAGTAAAACATTTCAACCCTTGTTCGAAGGCACACATAGAATAGCCTAGGAGAACATGTCATTTCACAATATTAACTATTACAACACTCTACATTGAGAGGATATACACTAGGACTTGTGGGGATACTGGTGTCATGCAAGTTACACCCCATATGATGGAAATGGAGCTCCAAAACCTAGTTATCCCCAAGGTCACAAATTCCTAAACATTTACACAAAAAGACCTTTCCTAACAGTATATTCCATGTTGTACCCATCCCAAAACAAGTTATCCAAATGACTCATGTCACATAATACCTAATGCATATTCATAACACATTTGTTTATTATCATAACTTCATGTTACACATCACGACTAGGTGATCACACCCAAACTTTCATCCCAACTAGCCTCGATTTAGACTTAAAGACACATAACTAACACATGGTTCACACATAACACATCATACATTCCATGAATAACCATGAGGATAACACAAAGTTACAATCACTATCAATTTACATACAATTTTCATAATAGCTTATGTAACACTCCAGTTTTCATACATTTTTTTAGGGTAATTGAGTAATTTTATAAGCGTGATTTAGTAACCCAGAACGGGCCGTTCGCAAATTGGAACGAGCCATTCAAAACTACTAAAATGAGGGTGATTTAGTAGCCTAAAACGGGTCGTTTCCAGACTGGAACGGGCCGTTCCAAAATACTAAAATTGCCTACAAATCTTAGTTGGGATCGGGGCGTACCCAAATTGGAACAAGGCGTTCCAAACCACCAAAAAGGCTTGTAACCCTAGTTGGGAATAGGTCGTTCTGGTATAAGAACGGGCGGTTCTAAACATGGTCGTTATCGGTTAAAATGTAACCCCAGAATGGATTGTTCTGGTTTTAGAATGGGTCGTTCTGGATGTGAAATTTTACACATGTTGAATGAGTCTAGAACTGCCGGTTCCGGATTTGAAACGGGTCGTTTTGGCCACTCCTAAAATCTATAAATAGAGCACTCTGGCACTTTTTTTGGACACACTCTTTGGAGACCAAAGAGAACCAAGAGGAGGAGATCAACCAGATTCTGCTCTAGCTTCATGTTCTGCTTATCCAGGTAAGGGGGAGTGAGAAACCTCGCTCAAGGGTGTGGGAATAATTGTTGGGTAGTAGGATTGGCCCCCAATCCCTTGCCTGATGCATGCTTATAGGAATAGGCAAAATATGAATGTTTTCTGTTTTGTTTTCTGATTCTTTTGTTGTGTTCCTTGTTGGCTGTGATGTATGAATATGTGATTGATTTTGAAAATATATATGTTTTGATATGAATTAGAGTGCTCTGAGAGAACCTTATGAGAAACAGGAAAAATATGAATATTTTCTGTTTTTCTTTTTGAATGTTCTGTTGCGTTCCTTGTGTGATGTAGAGTGTGAATATGTATTTGATTTCATAATTAGATAACCTTTGATATGAATTAGAGTGCTCTGTGGTTTCTTGTGGGAAACCCTATGAAGTAAAATTAGGAATATGATCTTTGGATGATTTTGAGGCGATATATGTAAACTTGATGATGGCTTCATGTTTTGGATAATTACTTGGTACGATTCATGTATATGACTACAAGAAGTTTCTTGCATGAGACTATGTGAACATGATGTGAAAATGTGAAAGGTGAACATATGATCTGTGATATGATATTGTGAAATAATGCTACATGAGATATGATGAGACGTGATAAGGGAAATGTTAAGTCAATGAAATCGTGAATGTGTGACATGCATCATGTGCATATATGAGCTAACAAGGTGTACCTTAGGGTCACTGGTGATGTAATAAGCTAACAAGGTGTACCTTAGGGTCACTGGTGATGTAACAAGCTAACAAGGTGTACCTTAGGTCACCAGTGATGAAATGATGAGAAATGTGATTATAAGACACGTGATTGGAACCACATGCATTTATGAGTCGAGTTCATGAGATCATTGTATGATGAAGGATTGTGCATGTGTTACTATTGCATGTATAATTTGAATTTACACCTGAATAATGTGTAGCTATGGTTGAATTTATTATGATTCGTGTGTGTGTTGCCTAATTGTCATTTCTACACCTGGAACCGAGTGAGATGTTTCTCACTCCCTTGTTGTTCTTTGTATATGTTTAAATTGTGTTGTAGATGATCATCAGCACGAGGATGTTGGTGACGAGGTTTAGGCTTCAGTTGGGCATGTTCTGATAGGATATGTGACATCGGGGCATAACTAGATTTAGTTTAGGATTTCCTTATTGTTATTCTGTTTTGGAAAAGATTCATTTTGCTATAAATTCTTCATTTGACCATGTTTGAAGTATACAAATGTGAATTCTCTACTCTTATGTTAATGGATTCATTGTTTTAATTATAAATGTTTTATTTAAACAAAGGATATTTTTTTGCATGTATGTTGGGGTAGAGGGTGTCACAGCTTAACATACCATAATTAATCAATTAATATAGATCACTCAATTTAATTATGCATATCTGTAGACACCCAATTTTGTCTAAGGGCATACAAACAAGGAAATGGACCTCTGTTATGAAGGGAAGGAGCTCCCGAAGCATGCAAACAACAAGACAGGATATTGAAAGGCCTAAAGCCCAAATAAATTGGTTTTAGTGGCTCGAAACGGACTGTTCTAAAATCGGAACGGGCCGTTCCAAGCCACAAAAAAGGCCTAAAAACCTAGTCTGGAACGAGTCGTTCTAAAACCAGAACGGGCCATTCCAAACCAGGCAAAAGGCCTAAAAATCTTAGGCTAGAACTGGTCGTTCCTAAACCAGAACGGGTTGTTCCTAAACCAGAACGGGTCGTTCCAAACTGCTAAATAGCCTAAAAAACCTAGTTTGGAACGATCCATTCCAGCAATGCATTTTTGTGTTAATCTCAACCCTAGAACAGGCCATTATTGTTTTAGAACAGGCCGTTCCAGAGTAAGAATTTAACACATAATTCATATCCAGAATGGGTCGTCAAAATTTTTGTCCAATGCTCCTTAGAGCTCAAAATTTCTCTTTCTCTCTCCTATTGTATTTCTTGAGTTTTGTGAGGCATATTGTAGTGTGAAAGGTTGCCGCAAAGCACCTAAAATCTCCATATTTAAAGATCTAATAAATCTTGCTAGAAGGTATTACTCATTAATCTCTTGTTCTATCTTTCTCTTCTTTTATTTCATATATTGCTATAATAAACACAATTATGTAGATATCTTAGGGTTCATCGTGTAATTTAATTTTAATGTAAATAATCATTAATAAAGGGGATTAAATATTTAAACTATTAATTATTATTATGTTATCTTCATCATAGGGATTTATGGCGTTGTATGGGTGCTTAATACCTTCCCTCCACGTAACCGACTCCCAAACCCAATTCTGGTTATCACGGCCATTATTGGACTTTTAAAAACCTTTTCTTCTTCCAATGTTTTGAGTAAAACATTGGTGGCGACTCCATGAACCTATTTTCAAAATCATTAATTAAGGATTAGTCTGGATTAGTTTGGCGTCCGAGCATTCCTGAATTGATGAGATTTTCAAAAGGATGTCTAAACCATAGGTTGCAAGATCAAAATATTTTGGGTTGCGACAGATGGCGACTCCACTGGGGAAGTTTTAAGAGGGTCAGACCCATATAAATGATGAAGTTAATAAAATAAGAACAATAATTTAAATATTTTTCCCCTTTTCTTTGTTTGTTTTATTTGTGTGGCTTTAATATCTATTTGTCTGTTTAAATTCTGCACTTGTTTGAATAAAAATTGTACACAAACCTTTGCACAGAACAGTTCCCCCTACACCTACACTAGTGGAAACAAGGCTTTTAAAATTGGTTATTTTTAACTTTTAAAATCGGTTCCGTAACCGATTTTAAAAGAGCCAATTTTAAAAGTTAGACTTTTAAAATCGGTTAAACAACCAATTTTAAAAGTTAACTTTTAAGATCGGTTGTTTTATAACCGATCTTAAAAGTCTGGGCGACGAAAAAAATTAAATTGGACCAGGCCGTTCTAGGCTGTTCAAAAAGGCCTAAAAAGTTAACTTTCAGTACAGGCCATTGTCCATGGAGAACGGGCCGTGCTCCATGGAGAACGGTCGTTCTCCTTGCAGAACGGCCCATTCTCCTTGCAAAACGGGCCGTTCCAGGTTTGAAATTTACCCAAAATGAACCTACAACGAATGGTCGTTACATATAAGGATTGGCATGAGATGCTACCTTACGCATTGCATGGGTACAGAACATTCGTTCGCACATCGACGGGCGCCACCCCTTTTTCCTTAATTAGTATACGGGATGGAGGCAGTCTTGCCTGTTGAAGTGGAAATTCCTTCTTTGAGATTACTCACGGAGGCAAAGCTCCCAGAAACCGAATGGGTTCAAACCAGATTTGACCAATTAAATCTCATAGAAGAGAAAAGGTTAGACGCCATTTGTCACGGGCAAACATACCAAAGGAGAATCAAGAGAGCCTTCGACAAGAGAGTCCAACAACGACCATTTGAAGAGGGAGATCTAGTACTCAGGAAACTTCAACCAGCACAGAAGGATAAGATAGGGAAATGGGCACCAAACTATGAAGGCCCATACGTGGTCAAGCGAGCCTTTTCTGGAGGAGCATTGATCCTCACTAACATGGATGGTGAAGAACTCGCCTACCCAGTAAACTCTGATGTCGTTAAGAAGTTCTATGCCTAAGCGCAAAAAAAAAAAGGGAGGCATTAAAGCAAGACGAACGGACGACCTAGAAGCCCTATCACCTTCTATAGAAGTCAAGAAATTACTTGAAGTGGTATTGACCAGACGACTAGGAGGATGCCAAGCTTCGTTTCTTAAAGTCATGATTGCTCAAGCCCAGACACCGGCCAACCTCAGTCAATTTTTTTCAAACCTCCTCTTGTAACCCTACTTGAATTTTTTTTATTTGCAATAAAATATCATTCTTCTCAGTTCTTTCAACCTTTATCTTTAAATGACGTGTTTGGTATTAAAGAGAAAAAATCAAAACAACCCAGTAAAAAAAACAAAAAAACAAAAAACAAAAAAACAAAAACAAAAAACAAAAACAAAAAAAACAAAAACAAAAAAAAACAAAAACCTAAAAAAACAAACAAAAAAAACACAAAAAAAAGGGAGTAAAGGGAAGCCACCTGATACCAATAGATTTCTAAAAAGCTTAAACACATATGTATGGCATACAGAAAAGCGTGCACTTGAAATAAATAACTTTTCACATCAAAAGGGAATTATCCAAAATGGTAGTAAGTTGCAAACATTTTCAATCCATGCATGCATCATGAATAAAATCTCTAAAGAAAGCAATCAAGAAAGGAGCCACGTGTGAAGGGGCAAAACTCTTCCCTCACAACAAAAGATCAGACAGGGTCAAGTAAATCCTTTACAATGACCATCCATAGACAAAAAAAGGCAAGCTTCGTACATGTTGAAAAGCTGAAGCATTTAAAAAATAGCAGAAAAAGGCAAGCTTCAAATGTGAAAAAGCCGAAGCTAAACAAAGAAGTGAAAAAAAACCTACAACAAGAAGACGCCTGGAGAGGCATCAGAATACTCACATGGCAGGGGGCAACATCAGAATTTGTGTCATTCATCTACTTCTCTGCCCACCAACACAGGGGCACATCAAACATCTCCTGCCCATCAACCTGGGGGCAGTCTTTCATCTCACAACACCAACAAGAAGATATCAAGTACAAGATCAGAAAAGGGTTGCTAGATCCCTAAAACTAGTACAAGATCAGTAAAGGTCGCTAGATCCTCAAAACTAGTACAAGATCGGTAAGGGTTGCTAGATCCCCAAAACTAGTACAAGATCAGTAAGGGTTGCTAGATCCCCAAAACTAGTACAAGATCAGAAAAGGGTTGCTAGATCCCCAAAACTAGTACAAGATCAGTAAGGGTTGCTAGATCCCTAAAACTAGTACAAGATCAG